ACGACAAGAAAAGTACAACGCAGGTGTCGTAAAGGAAGTCGCCGCCGCGGTTGATTAGGAAGGGCATCCAATCAGACAAGGGTGAGACTGACAAACAACCTTTCAAATAGTAAATTGAGAGAGGCCGATTTCCTGCAGTGGAATAAATGGCTGTTGAAAAAAGTAAATATATATATATATGTGTGTGTGTGTGCGTGTATTTGTGTGTTTGTGTGTGTGTGTGTGTGTGTGTGCGCGTGTGTGTGTATGTGCGTGTGCCTGTGTATGTGTGTGTGTTTGTGTTTGTGTGTGTGTGTAGGCGTGTGTATGGATGTGTGTGTGTATGTGTCGATTTCCTGCAGTGGAATAAATGGCTGTTGAAAAATATATGTATACGTATATGTGTGTGTGTGTGCTTGTGTGTGTGTGTTTGCGCGTGTGTGTGTGTGTGTGTATGCGTATGTATGAGTGTGTGTGTGAGTGTGCACATGTGTGTGTGTGTGTGTGTGTACATATGTATAAATACATACAGACATGCATATATATATATATATATATATATATATATATATATATATATATATATATATATATATATATGTGTGTATGTATATATATATATATATATATATATATATATATATATATATATATATATATATATATATATGAATCAAGACAAAATAAACTCCCTATATGAAAACAAAAACAGATTTTTTTTCCAATGACTTGACCTCAAAGCCAATGTTAGAAAGCTTTTTGTTAAAGCCGGTTACTAGGTTAAAGTATCCTGTAGAATGAGGTGAAATGACAAAAGTAGCCTCTTAAAACCCTTGTAGCAAGAAAGTTATCAGGAAGATTTTAGTCGTATTTAAGTTAATTTCAAGCAGGATGGAATTCAAGTATGAAATGCTATCGTATAATTTAGGCTACAAAATAGATTAAGCTTTAGATTTTAAGCTGGATATATAATCCTATTTGTTTGAAAATTGACCTGAGGTGTCTCTGATCTTGAGAATAAAAGGGTAAAGCGTGCGATTCTTTAAATAAAAAAGATCCTCAAATCTGACCCAACATTAAAATCTAAAAAAAATCAATACATAATATACTGAAACTTAGCTTAACAGGCCTTCAGTTACCTTCGTTTGAGGATAGAATATGTTAGACTTTGGTGCAGTCTTTATGTGTGTTATGATGAAACATAACAAGATTCGCCCAAAATGGATATGAAATGCGTTTTAAGCGATTTTGTGCAGGGTGATACGAATCCGCAATTTTGATGTCCATTTTATCAGCTACTTTAGGGTTACTAAAAGAATCCATCACTCTATACAAAACGTATTATGGACATCGCGCGTGGCTGAGCGATGTCATGTCCGGTAGCTGCCCTTCCTCTTGGGCGGACGCAAAATGCCCCGGCTTTCTCTTTTCGCACGGGAATAAACATCCGCCTTCGAGGGAACTGCCGCATAAAGGGGCACGTGCGTAAGACGGAGAGAGACGGCAGACAGGCCAAGCCACACAGGGACCAGCTCCACAGACACTGTACTGGCATAATTATTGCGACCAACGGCGGTTTTAAATATTTTTTATAGAATATGTGTCCCAAAATGAAAGCATCTTATAATTTCCTAATCTTATTTGCGTACATCATTAAAGATCATGATATTAGAAACCAGAATAGCCTCCCTTATCCTTAGTCACTGCAGCAACATGGCAATTTACCGGTGGGCCTTTTCCCTGATTTCTGGGTTCTATGCCATATTTTAACAATCGTTCAATTATCTCAACTTTGTTAGTACAGCCGGCTTGGCTTATCTCGATTTTCGTGTCCTTCCATACACTGTTTCCAGGCCAATCAGGCACTCAAATACCATAATTATCCAAATGGGTTTTAACGCTTTTGGCTCTGTGGCAGGTAAATGCATTAAAAATGCAGGCATTATTTGGGAACCAATACTTTACTCTGGAAATCGGGGTGGTGCTTCTCTAAGCTGGTTCTTCTAACACATCAGTAGACACATCAGGGAAACAAACATGTAAATAAATAGAATAATAAAAGTTACGAGATGACTGAAACATTCAACCAATACCCTCTTGAACAACATCTCCAACATGACCCTTTTCTGATCTCGCTTTTGAACCAAACATGATGATCATAATAGATGTAGTATTTTGTAACTAACATATATATTTTTTTTTTCATGTATACATGTATTTCCCTAAATTATATTTGCATCGCATAGAAGCATAGTAAAGGAGGCTTAAAATGTTATCTACTTGTGAGCCTTTTCCAAGGATAGTCGTTTCTTATGGCTAGTCTTGGTACCTTAGTTGGCTTGCATGCACAGTATCCCATCTCAATTAACATTTTTCAGACTGTAAAGGGCTTTTACTCAATGCCATGTTTTTTTGTTGTTGTTTTTTTTTTCATTCATTAGCCAGTTGGTTGGAAGACTTTGTTCAACCATATTTACAAGCATTCTGTCCTGTTTGGGAGAAGAAACAGACTCTTTTCTGCACTTTCCTCTTCGCTTGGGTTCATAGTTTTCGAAATTATCAAGTTTTCTGTTCTCTTTCGCAGCAGAAGTTTTAGAAACACTCACTTTTTTGGCTATTTCCCTATGGCTTAAGGACGTTTTTTTGAGATAAAATTCATTGCAGAAAAATTCGCCCAATTCAGGTCCTTTCCTCCACCCATGGTGCTTCAGGAGGCAGGCTTGATTCAATTTGCACGGTAGAGGGGCTAGATTTAGTAAGTAGAGGCAGTGCATACATCATAAGAATATCAGAAACTGGACGTTCGGGATCAGTGTTAAGAGTCACATGTAAAGTGTAACACTCAATTGTAGGGAGCAAGGGTATACTAGCAAAACCTCCAAACTACCAAACAATTGACCAATCGCCTTTTTCCAGCTAATTTAGTAAATATCTAAATACTACAAAGAATCATTTATACGCAACAATAAATCTAACCTAAACTTAACTCAACTCAACTCAACTCAACTCAATTCAACTTAACTAACTTAACTTAACTTAACTTAACTTAACTTAACTTAACTTAACTTAACTTAACTTAACTTAACTTAACTTAACTTAACTTAACTTAACTCAACTCAACTTAACTCAACTTGACCTAACCTAAACCTAAATCTAAACCTAACCTAACCTAAACCTAACCTAACCTCAACTCAACTCAAATCAAATCAACTTAATTTAACTCAACCTGACCTAACCTAACCTAAACTTAACCTAACCTAACCTAAACCTATGCATGTCTTATGCGATATTATACTTGGTAGCGTCTTTTACCCAAAGCATTCATCAGAAATATAGGTAATTAGAAATGTTTATAGCTGATAAAACGTAAAAATGATAAGAGTATATTAAAGTTATTATTAAAATAGAAAGAATTAAGATAAGTTAAAAAAAACTATAAAACTTTACTATGCTTTGTCGTTTATAGTATTTCATCAAAGTAAGTAAAAATAAGTTGTGTATCTTAACTTCCATCATTTATTTATAATGTAATTTGTATTTTCCATTTAAAGCCTTCAGATTTCATCAATTTGTACTTATTACCTTGCATATTTAGTTGTAAAAGCGAAACAAAAGGCAAAGATCATTACCATTATTATTTTTAAAAAGTAAACCAGTAACACGCAATAAAAGAAAAGAAAACTTCCGGAAAAATAAAAGTTAAACAACAAAAAAATACACGTAGAAAAGGGCCAATCTTAAAGAAAACCAATAAAAACAGTACCTGGTAAAACTGCAGACTCACTGTAAGATTTTTTTTTTTTTAATGTACGTAAAAGAAAAATAAAGCACAAATAAAAATGACCGTAGGTAACGAGCAGATGCCTGTGCGCAACTTAAGCAAGGTGGTTGACCTCATCTTATTTATGCAAACTAGGTCGTTCGCCAGATGTTCGCGCATCTAGACTCATTTTATAATTAAAATGGACGTTTCTTTAAATACTACTATTTTATCAATAGATTGCCGTATTTTTTAAATTAAAGGTTTAATGTAGAAATATACACATAACATAATATAAACAATAAAAGAAAGGAACAAACATACATAAATTCAAATAAACGATAAAATTATGTCCGTGGGCTTGCTAAGGGGTTTGGCGCCAAATGCCCGTCGGAGATTTTCCCTCAGCCTTGTCCGTCGCCATCTTGGGCGCCACTTTGGTATTCCTGTGTCTATGAGGGCGTCCTCCCGACGTCATCTTTTGTAGGTCTCGAGTGGGACATTGGGATGCCGTACCTTCGATAGCTCGGGCCAAATCTCCTCGGAATAATACAAATGCGCAGGGCGTCCCCATTCTCCATCCTGCAGCGCCTCCGTCAGGCAGTGCCTTCTGCAGCGCCTCATGCGGTGTCTCCGTCACTATCCTCGCGCCCTGGTCTAAAATGATAATATTGGTCGCGGGGACATTTTATGTTTTTTTTTTGAGGTGATGCTGAGCGGGTGGGGGTCGCCGGATGAGGCAGTAAGAGCGGCAGCTCACTACAACAGGCATGACCCTTTGCTTTGTATATACTGTATAGAACCAAAAGGGAGATAAAAAAAAAAAAAAAAAAAAAAAAAAAAAAAAACTTCATAAAGATAAAAGTCTGGTGACAACTGAGTAACTATGTAAAGATTAATAGCATCATTAAATATAGGAGAATAAAGGGCATGTATTGTCATTAACACCTATTATTGATATTCTAAACACTAGTGCGCTTCGCCCACTTTCACTCCTCCTCTGGCCTTGTTGCCGATAGAGAACATGGTCATAAAGCCGTGCACACGACTAACTGTGCTGCGTCTTATTGTTTATTAAGAGATAAATTAAATGTTACCATATTTTCTAGCTATCATTGGAAAGGAGACAATAATCCCAAATGTGCAACTCTTTCCCGCATAACCATACTGGAGATGATATTAAGAAAAGTCATTGATTGTCCAAGCAGAGATCGAGGAAAACTGCCTAACACCGTGATACCGTCTACGTTATCGCGCTTAATCTTATCAGCTGACTCAACGACCGTTGTAAGACCTAGCCTTGTAGGCGCAACAGTGTACAACGAAAGACTGTTTGTGAAGGGAGTAACAAATCGTGTACAACGTGGAATATAACTTCTCAAGTGTTTTTGAGGTTTGCAATCGATTTCAGCCATTTGCAGGCTGTTAAATGAGAGTTGGTGTGACAAGTAGGAGGAAAGACTTAGAAGTCGTTTCTGTTTGCATGTGCGTGTGTTTGAATATATTTGAAATCGGACGGGTACTTTACGTGCGTGTGCGTGCGTTTTTTTCTGTGTGTGTGTGTGTGTTTTATTTTTGTGTTTATGTCTGTGACTGATGTTTAATACACACTGTGAATAAGTGTATCGTACGTCATAAGAATAACTAATAAGTCAATAGTTATATCACTGGTCATCCAGCCGCAAACTCTTATAGCTGGTTGTACGCAAGAGTTATATTTATAATCCCTAGTAAATCTTATAGTTGTATATCATAATATATACACCCATTATTCTATTACATTTAATGATGTCATGAATGATATCACTACCACAAATACCCTTCATTTCAATTATGATTATTGTGCAAATGCAATTCATTATTATTGCTATATGTTGCATCGTTGTTATGATCATTATTTTAACCATCATTATCGCCATGTATGATTATAACTATCATTATTATAATGATATTTACCATCACTTCTTGTATCATTATTATCTTTCTTGTTCTGTTCGTTGCTATTGTTGTTATACTATTATTATTAAAACCTATATAATTATAAAATGGCAATAATGATAACAATTATCATGATAATCATAATTATAACTGTAATAATAAGAGTTATATCAATAATCGTAATTATGATTACTGTTAAATTTTTTGTTATTGTGTTACCGCTCATGGTTCTGCAATTATCATCATCACCATCATCTTCAATATCATTGTTTGTTTTTTTTAATTAAATCTGTTATTATTGATATTATTAGTATTTTCATCTATATTATTAATGTATGTATTGTTATTCGTAGGAGTAGTAATAATATTACTATTATAATCATTATTATTTTCTTTTATCATCGTAACCAATTCATAATTATTATTATCATCATTTCATTATTATTCTCATCACTGCTATAGCTGCTGCTGCTGTTACTGATATTATTATTGTCGTTATTATTATTATCATCATTATCGCTATTATTATTCATGTTATGATTATCATTGCAGTAAAATTATAGTATAATATTCTGTAGTTATTGGCAATGCTGTTAGAATATCCTGTTAGTTTTATCATTCTCAATATAATTAGTGTTATCTTTTTATGACCATGCTTTAGTGTATGTGTGTGCGTATGTTAGTGTGTGAATGCATGTATGTGTGTGCGTGTGTGTGTGTGTGTGTGCACGCGCGCGCGTGTGTGTGTGTGTGTGCGTGCGTGCGTGAATGCGTGTGTTAGTAAGTGTGTGATTGCATGTAAGATTAAGAATTTGTGTGGGTGTATGTGTGTGAGCGTGTGTGTTTGTGTCTACGAATATCAGTGCGTAAGATATATGGTAATGGATCTTCATCCTGATACCTACAAGGCATGAAGAAAGCACAAATAAAAATAAATCACACTCATGCGCTTAAGTATGTGTGTCTGCTCAGGTACGTGCGTCACCTATTAACCAGGTGTATATTTCTAAAAGTTATCTCAGTGGGGATAGCATATCTTATCTCTGTGGTTGAAATGGTATAGGAATGTATTGATAACGTTCGAGTTCTAACGTGAGACTTGGTTATATGTAGGTGTTCTCATATATGCTCTTGTATTAAAGATATTTGCTCGGACCTATACACGTTTTTACATGATGTGTTCAAATGCACATGAAAAAATGGAAATGTACCATATTCCATACTTACAAAAAAAAAAAAAAAAAAAAAAAACATATGTGTGTGGAAAATGAGAGAGAGTGAAAGACAGGTGTGGGAGAGTTCCGCGAGATTTACGAAAATAAGCTTTGCCCAAGCCGGGGTTTTTTTATGGCCTAACCTTTTTTGGTCACTCAGACCTGATTCATCGGATCAACTTAACCGAATGTTATCGGAGAGTCGGATTACCTCTAGGCTCTTCACTTCCATGAAACGAGCGACAACTAGACCTTCCTTACCAAACCTGCGAGCCTGTTTCGTGAAGCACACGTTCCAGCAGTTTGGAAGGAGTTCAAGGATAACGGAATTTGGGTTCGCAACAATAGCCAGTAATGACTAATCTGTGTAGTGTCTGTCTTTTCCCTTTTTGTCTTTCTCGCTGCGGAGCTGCAGTTTCGAAACTTGGTCGTATAATCAGTTCATTCGACGGCTTTTCAATTAATCTGCTCTGTTAGTTCGTCTGCAAGTTCTTTCCAAAGAACTTAATTGTACTCGGGAAACTGAAAGAAAGAAAAGTATAAGTGGGTTCCAGACAGCGCCCTTTTTATATATTTCACCGCAAGGCTTACTACCCCCTTTTGTAAGGTAGGCACCATCTCTCTCAAGGCTTTAAAAAGTGTGCAAGAAGAAACACAACAGACTGTAGGATTTTTTTATTTTGTTCCCATTTAGAGAATAACATTTTGTAATAATGAAAATTCAATAGAACAACGTTTACTTTGGCCTGTCTTGCTTTAGTCCTAAATAAATATTAAGCCTTTTATCACGAATATGTATATACCTTTAAAAAAATTCAGATGGAAAGAGAATATTTCTGCACATAATCAGAAAAAAAATAAAAGATTCATTTTTTTACGCATTAAACCATAATGAAAGAGACATTTGCAATGTTCTTCAAGAATTACAGATAAAAAATACGACAGATATATAGCAGTGAGACGACATGATCATAGATCGTTTAACCTCATACAGCATTATTTGAGAGGTCAGAGTGACAAAATAATGATACTATAATAATTAATTCCGTGTAAATAATTGTAACCATTTAACATATATATATTCTCCTATTTGTCTACGAAAAAATAAAACCAATATCAAAATTTATAACGTATGTTAAGAAACATCTTACAGATCATAAGACTGGTTAATGAAAATAGAAGAGATGGGTGTGTGTTTTATTGTAATCTCATCCGGTCAGGTCACACACACATATATACATATATATATATGTGTGTGTGTGTGTGCATATGTGAATATGTAAAACACTCTTCCGTATTGATACTATGGTAGAAAAACCCACAAAGCAAAAACAAGATTTTTTGCTTTGTGTGTGTTTTTTTTTTCACCATATACATATATATGTATATGCATATATATTATATGTATAAGTATGTATATATATGCGCGTATATATTTTCTGCCCTTTTTCTTTCGTAAACTCATCATCACATTTTTTATCTTTACTTGCCCAGATCCCCACGAAATGCTTTAAGTCGCCAAGCTGAGCTGTTTCGCTGTTTCTGCATCGACTCGTTCACGTGTATAAAAGACGATCATCAAGACGACTAATTAGCCATAAGACAGCTTGCTGAACAAAATGGATGACCTTACTGAAGAGCTGGTAAGAAAAATGAGAAGTGCACATTAGTCGTATACTGATAAATAAGGTAACTGACCCTGTATGTGTGTATGAGAGAAAGTGCGTGTGTTTGTGACGAGTATGTTTGTGTGTGCTCTTGTATCTTCCCTTTCCTCACCCATTCTGTCTATCCCCCGCCACCATAATCCTGAATGCGCCCAATTACACACACAGATAAGGGCCGCCCGCGAAGGAGACGCGCAGGGTGTCGAGGCCGCCCTCAAGGAAGGGGCGAACATCAACTTCCTCGGCAAAGGCGGCTGGTCGGCTCTCCACCACGCCGCTTTCGAGGGTAACGTCGACATGACACGCCTACTCATCTCCTTTAGTGCAGACGTGGGCGTGAGCAGCGGAAAGAAGTCGGAGGGAGGTAGGCTGTTCGGAAAAAAAAAATGGACTTATCCATAACAATCGTTACTAAGCATCGTCATGGTAGGAAACTGAGGGAGACTGCCCGCTTAGGCTAAGCACGGTCACCAAGCAATATTTGGCAAAGATCAGAAAAATGAGACACGCGTAATACTCATTACCACTGCTATTTATTGAAAGAGAATCAAGTTCTACAAGAATTAAGAGTGAAAATGAAAGGAAACATATACAGTAATGAAGGAAACACAATAAGCTACGGAATTCCTCTCTCACTGTGGCTTTGTTTTCTTCAATGTACATTCAAACGCAAGATTCTAATCACCTTCACCTGATTCGTAATTTCCTATGCTATACC